TCGAAATCCTTGTCACCGAGACGTCCGCTCATTGGCGTAGCCGGTAATTTCCAGTGCGTTTGGTTTATCAAGGGCGTAGACTGTAGAAGCTGACATTACTAGCCAAAAGACGGAAGCGACTGTTCACAACTTGTGAGCTACGAAGGAGATCTCAAAATGTCTAGCTCTATCTCTACCGCGATCGGGAAACGATGTTTTGCCGTTGCACGGCGACCACTTCGTGGTCTTGGCCCGTTTCAAAACCAGTCATGGCCATTCATATAATTGTATGTGATAAACTTCCATCGATCTCAACTCATCTCCAATATTTGACAGTTTTACAGTTTTTGTTAACATGTCATCCTCGAAATTTCAGAGCTTCTTCGTGCGCCATTGCTCAGTTGGAGAGGTGGCAGATCTGTGGAGCAGCGTGAACGTGCTGCTATGGACGATCTGGTACGTGAAGCAGTGCGAGAGCCGCTTAAACCGCGGGAGGCTCGGCAAACGCTGGCTATACCTGGTGCTAGTTACGGACATCATCATCACGCTGGGGTTTACTATGCTGCTTATCCAGAAACCAACCATCACATTCGGAACGCTTTCCTCGCTTACAGTTTCTGGGATGATTAGCGGAATACTAAGCACCGCCGCTCAACCAAATATAACATTGATAGGAACTTTAGCGAGTCTGATGGCTACATCAATTAATGGAACGCTGCAAACAGCTGCTCAACCTAATATCACATCTCTTGGAACGTTAACTAGTTTAACAAGTAGCTGGGCAATTACTTCAAGTAGAACTACAAACGGCCAATCATTCAATTCCACGAATGGAACTCCAACTTGCACTTTATTCCATTATAACATTGGGATGCTTATTTTGGAACATCTACCACAAACAACTTAGTATTTCAAACAAGTAATACAGGAATAATGACAATTTGTCCAGCAGGAGCAGTATCCGGAATTTCATATATCAGTGCTACAACATTAACTGGAACACTGAACACTGCATCGCAGCCTAATATCCCATCGACTGGAGATTTGACAGTACCGAGTTCGGTTACGATAACAAATGTACCGACACCACTTTCAATCAGCAATACTAGGGTTGACTATCCACAATACTGGTGGGGTTCAAGATATTGGTTCTTTTACAAGCCATGATTTCTTTTTAAACCAAATCGTACTCGAACATTGCAATGCGATACATCTGGCAATGTTGATATTTTAAATCGTAATACATCTACTATTGGACTAAAACTTGTTTTGAAGTGCACCGCTAGTACGGTTCGGACCGTCTCGGACGGTTCACCCTGAACCGTCTAGAAACGCTTCCTATTGGCTGTTCATGGGATGATCGGCTTGATTGGCAGGGAGAAGTGTTTGCACAAGCCCACAACAAGAAGGACAACAGCAGACCAGAGTTTGGAAGTACAAGCAGGACAGCTTTGGTAACTTTTTAACCCCTTGAACGCGACGGCCTGTATCAGACACGTTAAAAAAAATCCTTATCCTGGACCATACACGATAAGATTTTTTTACTTGATTTTTGTATGGGTATGTACAATTTTTTTTTTACGTCAAATAGGGTATGGGGTGTCTGCATGTTTCACCTAACCTGTTCCGCATCTATCCATTTTCCAAAAATTAAAATTGAAAGGTTTTAGTGTTGTGTATGCCACACT